CGTTTCGAGTGTCAAATTTGGATGAGTGGTACGAGCAGTACGTTATCGAACCCACGTTGGCGTCGCTCGAAGAATTCCAAGAACGCGACAGTGGATGGGCGTTGTCGCGAATTCTAAATTTGACTGTAAACATGAACAAATATAATCCAATGCACGCGGGATGTTACATCGAATTAACGCGGGAAATTATGTTAAAGCGAGCGGTGATCAATGTACGATCCAATGACAATGCGTGTTTCGCGTAGTCGGTTGTCGCGGCTCTACATCCGGCCGAAAGGAATACAAATCGGGAATTGTCATACCCGCATTATACGGTGTTAAATTTGCAAGACATTACGTTTCCGATGACGTTGAATCAAATTAAGAAGTTCGAACATCTCAACGACATCTCAATCAACATCTACGGTATCAAGGAAAAGGAGATTCTCCCGGCTGACATCAAGGAAGATGGAGAAGCACGCAAATCTATTGTACGTGCAGGATCCGCGCGACGACAACGCGGGGCACTTTGCGTACATCAAAGATCTGTCCCGTCTTGTGAGCTCACAACTGAATAAATACGGACATAAGAAATACTTTTGCGACCGGTATGTATTTTAACAAATTTTATTATTTCTCTTATAAAATTGTTTATTAAATACTAAAAAGCATATTTTCCGTTTGCAGATGTCTACATTACTTTAGTTCGTCTGAAAGATTGCAGTCACATAACACGGACTGCGAAAAGATAAACAATTGCGCCATCCGAGTGCCGAGCGAGGACGACAAGTGGCTCGAATTCAAGAACCACACGAATAAGGAACGACTTCCATTCATCGTTTATGCGGACTTGGAGTGCGTACTACGGCGAATGAAACCGGCAGAGAGGGAAGACGCATCGTACACCTACCAGCAGCACGAGGTATTTAGCATCGGATACTACGTGCGATGCTCGTACGACGACGCGTTATCGATATATCGATTTCGTCGCGACGAAAACTGCGTTGCGTGGTTCGTTCGGCACTCGAAGATTTGGCGCATCAAGTAAAAATTCTGTTATCCGCGAATGTCTCCA